TCTATTTTTTAATTTGTTTTATAAAATTGAAAGTATATTATTGATATTTTTTATTTCTATTATATAATTAGGGTAATGCAATAGCCCATTAATAAAATTTAGTTTTCCTAGTTTATATATTATTTCGAAATTATATACAACTAAGATTTTTGTTCATTTAATTTATCTATTATTTAAACTTTTTTTTATTATAATATATTAAAGGTTATTATAATTAAATATAACTATAATTATATATCAATTATTTATCACATAATAATACTATTATACAAAAGTATTATATATTATAAATAACTCTTAATTATAAATAAAATATTATTATTCCATAAGATTTAATTTTCTCAAATAGAATACAATAGAATACTACTATTATATAAATAATACTTTTATATTTATAGAGAATAATTGTGATAATATACAATTTAGTATAAATATCAATATATTGTTTTCAATTATTATATGGAGTAAAAAATTGAAATATTAAAGGATTAATATTAAAGTGAAAGCTTTTTTTAAAACTTTGAAAGCTTTTTAAATTTTATTAATTTATTTGAATTTGATTATACTCTTTTTCTTTTTTGTTCCCTTTATTAATATAATTATATTATAGATTATAATTAAATAGATTTTAATAAAATATTAATAAAAGTTTATAAAGTTAAAAAATATCTATATATTCCAAAGATTATTAGATATAGATTATTTTATTATAATCTAAATATATTCTAATTCTATTATAATTTTTATAATCGAAATAATAAAGTTTAAGAATTTAATTTTATTTATATAAAAAATATATTTCTTTAATTTTATATAAAATTTATATTTAATAAAATATTCAAGAATCTTTTGAATATTTATTATATATATAGCCTTATCCTTCGAATAAATTAGAATATTATTTAAATATATTATACAAATATTATTCGCTAAACTCGTTAACATTTGATTAATATATATCTAGAATATTGCTGAGATATTGGTAAAATTGAATAATATTATTTTATATTCGTATTGATTATATTGTATGTGAAATATTGTTTTTTATTTGTTTTCTATTTATATATAAATATAATAATATATATCTCTTAAATCTAATTTTATAAAGATAACACCTTGCCACAATTAATCTAAAAATTCACTAATAAAAACTAGTAAAGTTTTATTTTTCTTTATAATTTGATTTAATTTGCAATAATTGATATATAATTGATAACCTTTTTTCTTTTTAGATATAAATATAATTAAAGTATTTACTAAATTAATTGATTTTCTAATCCATTCTTTTTTCTAATAGTTTTTAAGATACTCTTATAATACTAGGGATTTCTTTTTTGATTAAAAATAAATAAAATTCCCAAAAAAAATTGAATCGAATTCAAGATTAATATAATACTTTATTAAATAATAATTGAATAAAAGATTATTTTTATTCTTTAAAAATACTATTTTGTATTTTTTGAATTCCTTTAATATAATAAGTAATTCTAATATAAATATTATACAACTCTATATCTTTAATTAATAAGGTATGTTATTATTTAGAAATATTATAAAGATTTAATTATCTTGTTTTATTTTTTAATAAAATTCTTTTATTAGAATTATTTTAAGATTATTAAAATTGAAATAATATCAAAAAGATATTGATTTCCAATCAATATCCAGATTTATTATTTATAATCAAAATAAATCTAGAATAATATCTATTTTTAATAAATCTAATATAACAAAAATAAAATTATAAATATAAATCCTCTTTTTTTTATAATTATCCTTCATTTTTATAGCAAATTTGTGATTCTTATATAAAACAATAATAATACTATTTATAGATATAAATAAAATATTTTTTTTATTTAATACTCAATCCTATTTTACACATTTGTTTTATTGAATAATATTAACTTATATTTTTGAATCAATAAGATACTGAAGAGTTATTGGTTTTTGTTCATATTGAAAAATACAATAGTTGTGTAAATTGCTTTTTTTTCTTTTTGTGGGTTTAGTATTAGAGGAACATTTATTATAATAGTTAGATTTAGATATTTTTCGAATAGAGAATATTAAATATATTATTTAAATAAATAGAATCTTTATACTTTTCTTTATAATACTTATATATAATAGGGTTTTGATATATAATAATATAATATCCTTTTTATTAATATTTATAGTAAATAATATTTCAGATATGATTTGTATATAATATTTTAGTAGAAGGTTTTTTCAGTTTGGTTATTAAATCTCTTATTAATTGATTTGATTTTTAATCCTAAGAAATAGTATTTATAGATATATTATTTTATATATAAAAATGTTTTAAAAAAAAATCTAATTATAAAAGGGAATGGGTATATTTATATATTTATTATAACTTTTTAATATTTCTATTTGGATATAATTTATTAATGTTTTCTAATCTATAAGTATACTTAATAAATTCAAAACAAAATTCAGATTGTTAGAGTGATTTGAATATTTTTTAAATTAAATTAAACAAAAAAACCTATTAATAATTTTTTTCTTTAAATATTATTTAGTTTTTATTTAATATTTTTTTTAAAGTCTTTCAAGTATATTACAAAAATATTTATAATTTCATTCTCCTTTTGTTTTATATATATAATTTTTTGAATTACTTATCACTACCAATTCCTCTTATCCATAATTATATTATATATATATTCTTTAAAGTTTCCCTATTTCATTATTTTATTTAATAACTTACTTTTATATCAATATCAAATCATCAAAAATTACTTCTCAAAATATTAAATAATATAATTTATTTTTTTCTTATTTATTGGAAAATAATACCCATCATTATTTCAAAATATAATTTTTATTTAAAAAAAAAAGTTTTTAATTTTATTAATACTTTTTTTTTTTTTTTTTTTTTTTTTATAATTTAAAAAGCTTTTTTTGATTTAAAATAATAATCCTAGAAATTATATATATTATAATTATAAAGCTATTATAATTAATTAAAATAATTATATATAATAAATAATCTATTATTATTTTATAAACTTTTTTTATAATAATTATTTCTTTTTTTATTTCTTAAAATTATTGAATTAATAATAGATTTTTATTATTAAAAGATTATTATAATTAGATTGTTTATTTATCAATATTGTTTTTCTTGAAAAATCAATTAATATCCTTATTCAATTAATTTGGAATTATATTATACGAATTATAATCTCTAGGCATTCTTTTTATAGAAATCATATTAATATCAATAGCTTTTCAATAAATATTAATTAATAAACTATTCTATTAGAAAATAAAAAGAATTATTAGAATAAATATTAGTAATAAATTAACTAGATGAAATGTAACACAAAGACTTTTTATTAATTCTTTTAAATTTATGAAAATTATACAATTTATATATATGTGCGGGCTTTTTTCGGCACACGGTAGGCCCGAGGGCTTACTATTACGTGCCTAATGAAACCCTTTAGTCCATGACCGTGACATTATTGAATTAAAAAAATAATATAATATATTATTTAATTTTATTAGAATAAAATTTGAATAAAATTAATAAAAAGTTAATATAATATATATAATAATTTTAAAATATACCTTTTTAAGCTCTTCCCAAACAAAGTCTTTTATTATAATCCTAAATTCGTTTTTATTCTAATTAAATCCTGAAAATTTATAAAGAAATTTAATACTCTTAAAATTCTTTTTTATATATAACCATTTGATTTCTATTATATAAAGATTATTATATTTTATATAATTAAGAAATGGAATTGTAATTCTATTCTATATAATAACTTTGAACCTATTTTCGGAAATTTATCTTGTTTTCTTAATATTACCTAATTATATAATCAATTTATTAATCTTATTAATAAATTATTTAATATTAGGGCTATAAGTCTTTTTGATAAATACTAACATACTATTAGATTTAAATATAATAGTAATAGAGTTTAAAGTTATAAAAATAAGATTATTAAAAAGATTTTATTTTTAATTAGATCTATACTTATTTTTAAATTATATTTTTATAGTATAAACCAAACTATTAATAAATTCACATTTTTTCTTGTATAATACAAAAATTTATTTATATGCATTTTGTTAATATTAATGCGAGCCTCGAGTCAAACGGGCTCTTATAAATTAAAAGATCTTTGAATATCAAAGTTATAGGAAAAGTAAATAAACATACAAATTAGAAAAAAATTAAAGAGGTAAATTAGAATTAAAAAAAAGAAAAGAAACAAGCGGAGAAGCTAAAGGGTAAATAAAAGACATTAATCGAAAATCTAAAGAAGAATCTATTTATTACACTTTCTATCTATTCTTTAATTAAAAACTTTATTATTATACTACATAATATAGAATATATTAAAATAAATGAAGAAATCATTAGATTTGATTATATGACTACTCTTTTTTCTTTAAAAATAATCAACTTAAATTAAAACTTGATAGTTTTTCAAATTTAAGAATTTCATTAAGACCCTATTGATTACAATAAAATTTATAAGATATAGATTTTTAAATTAATTGTATTGATTTATTAAAAATGATTTTTGTAATATACAATTGAAAATCTTAGATTTTGTTGTAATTAATAAAATAACCACTTCGTCGACCACGGATTTTTCCACCAGAGGGTGTTGGGTAGAAAGCTCTTCGTTCCATCTCTTCAAGTAGATCTATCACCTGTTTTTGTACCAGGGTCATTCTTATATAACTTTTACTTTCTTTACATTCATGGATAAATAGAGAGACATATCATTGTTAGGCATTTTTGATGAAAGAGAGATAATAACTACGTTTTATCTCTCCATGCAGTACGACAAGTACTTCCACTTCCAAGAAGGACTATTACCTTCATCCCGAGTAATGAACAACTATCTATCAACATTGTTATGATTATTACAACTCCAGCAATCAAATTTTCTTTCAAATTTATTAAAAAGCTAATCAAAAGGCTACAAAAGAGCAGAAGTTATTATTCAACTTGGTGATAATATTACAAATACAAAAACACAAATAATAAATATATTAAATATTGTAATCAAAAAAGATTTTAATTTGATTGATATAGTTTATATTTACAAAAGTGCTATGAAATATTTCGAAAGTAATATAGCAAAAGATGGAAGTTTAAACAAGTATATCTTGAGTAATTTGAGATCTAAGAGCTTGAAATTCGAGATGCCGAAGCCTTCCTGCACGTACTCGTAAACCAACTTCATAGCTCTACTTCATCGTCGCGTAAAACTTTTGCCAAGAAGTCCAGTTGAGCCTTGATGTTCTTCTTGAAAGTAGCACCAACGTACGGCATAAAATGATCTGTGTTTTGTAGCAAGACGAGCTCCTTCGGTTCAAGTGCAGCTGCATAAAGCTTGAGTTGTTGAGCCGTGGCAGCAGTGTGATCCTTATCGGCAGCGACAACAAGCAAAGGAGTGGGCGAGATTCTATGAACAACACTCACTGGCTCGAAACTAGCCAGATGTTGGATCGATTGTGTGGTGATTGCCCCTTCCCAGCGAATCTTCCGGTTCTCGAGCTCTTCGATAAATGGAATGAGAGCTGGATCAGCAGTCAGAGACGTACAATTTGGATCCTTCGCGTCCTTAGAATTCTGAGCGAAGATCTGCGTGAGCCCAGGTGCAGCACCAGCTTTGATGCTACGGCGATCTTCGTAGACACCTGGAAGAATTTTCGCAAAGAGTCCTTCTAGGGCGGCTCCCGATGCGAAGGGAACTTGGACAACAACAGCACGAATACGCTTATCGAAGGCAGCAGCGTAGAGAGCGACACCACCAGACATACTTGAGCCCCAGAAGACGATTCGAGATTCATCAACGTCTGGCAAAGAAGCAGCAAAATCAAAGGCGTCAGAGTAGTCGCGCGCTTGCTGGTTCGGGTCGACCTCGTCACGAAGAGATCCCTCGCTACTTCCAAAATTGCGGTGATCATAGAGCAAAACTCCATAGCCTGCTTCCTGGAAGCGCTCGGCAAAATCCGGGAGAAATTGTTCTTTCAATCCTCCTATCTGAATTTCAAATTAGTGAGTACATGCTAGTAGTTTTGAGGCAGCGTCCGATGGTACGTACTCCGGGTGCCATAATTATACATGGCCGCGGTCCGGTCTGCGCTGCTTTGTAAAAAAATCCCCGCAAGACAACGTGATCGACTGTCTTGAATTCGATGTTTTGGATGCTTTTCGACATAGCGGATCTAAGTAGTTTGGTATCTGCGACAATCGAGCTGATGTAAAGGTAACAAATAGTGTTCTTGGAAGAGATGTGTTGGAATTTAGATGATCAAGTCAGAGGAGCAATTCCGTGGTGGGAAGAGCCCTATATATACGTATAGCGATGCTAGCAGATGGAAGCTAGTCTGCAACCCATGATAACGCACTCTGCCCCGGACATTAGCTTTAAACATCGCAGTTCTTTTACACTCCTTCGACCTGGAAATCATTCATCCCACCACCTTCCAACCACTACCCCTAAGTCCAGCGGTAGTGGAGAAAATAAATAGTCCACCTGAAATAGAATTCAGGGTTCACATGTATGCGGAGTGTGCGGACCCAGTTTTAAACTGGGCAATCAACGAGCACGAGCCCAGAGCGGATTATCTAAATAGTCCACCAGAAATAGAATTCAGGGTTCACATGTATGCGGAGTGTGCAGACCCAGTTTTAAACTGGGCAATCAACGATCACGAGCCCAGAGCGGATTATCTAAATACTCCACCATGTGTAGGAACTACCGGTTGAAAATAAATTCCGGCATGGCAAGGCTGAACCAACCAGTGGGTGCACGGATTCGTGAGACTCCCTGTCCTGTGAGCAAAGCACAACTTCACACCAAAAATACAGATTTTAATAATTCGATTACAATTAAAATTTCTATTCACTTTCTTCAGAACTGAAATATAGTATAAAGAAACATAAGGATTTTATATGATTTGGAATTTGGAAGACAGCCTAGTACTAGTATCAGATGGTCAAACAATCTTTGAAAAAGAAGATAGATGCGATCCAGAACCGCAAAGCCGTGTGTCTATAAGAACTGAAAGAGTCTCCAGAGTTCAATCATACTCTATAGATGCTATTTTAGGCTGACTCGTAGGCAAGGTGCTTCAAAGAGCAAAATCTTCCTTTCTTATTTGCATGCACTAACGTCATACTGTATTTCAGACACTTTAACGAATCTTACCGGTGTTAAGCAAGCACTGAGTGTCATGAAGGCATCAGTAATTAAATTTTCAAATTGTCTTACCAAAGAGGAAGGCTTTTTGCTCGAGCAGATTTCTAAATTGACACCTGATAGAAAATTCTATCCTATAAATGAAAAAGCTATGCAAGAGGTGGCCTCGAATCCCTAGCTGAGCTTCATCTCGCAACATGGCTTGTTTTCTAAAACCTCGAAGGAAATAGTGCAGAACATAAGCCGTATCAGGTTTTTATACCCTCACCAAGCCGTGTCTAAGTTGGAAATTAAACATGCAGTTGACGAAATGGTTGAACGAGATCTAATCCGAACCGCTCAACCACGCGTCGATGGTTTTGGAGCTGAGTTATTCTCAACAAAATTTGACAAACAGTACAAGTCACGAGACTGCACTCAAGGTTGTGAGCGTGCTATTCGCACAATCGAATTAGCAAAAAGAGCTCGGAACGTCAAATTTTCACTACAAGAATCGTCTCAAAAAGACCTGATTGCTCGGATCTATCAGCTTTTATCGAAATCATCCAATTTACCAGCAAAAGAGAAAGAGCCAACGCTACACGAGATGCAATACAATGCTAACTGGCTGATTGACCCGGAAAGTACAATTGGAGATGTTTGGTACAAGATACATCATTCTTTCCAAAATAGACCAAAGTGGCTTGATCCTTATGCGGTGATCATGTGTCTCGCTACTCAAACTTTCAAATCTGAAGACGCCAATCAGATAAACCAAGTTCTATTTGCCCTTGTTTTTCTGCCTCGTGTTACCGAGATTAGGTTGCCCGTTACGGATACATATCATTTATATCAAGGCTATTGTTTCAAACATAATAAAATAAGATCCTTAGTCGCTAGTCAAGTGCGGATTTTGGAGGAATGTCCAGAGGTAAGATTGACGAAATATAGCTATGAGTTCAATCGAAACTTTTTCAACAGACGTAGTGGAGAACATCACAAGAAAAAGAATAATACTATCTCTAACTATTATTCCACAGACTTTTTTGGTGGTCACTATTAATAGTGATCTATTTCGACAAAGGAATAATAACCCAAGCAAAATCTCTCCAATTAATTATTATTCTTTCTGACTTTAATATAAGGCTTTTTGAAAAATTAAAAAAAGAAATTAATAAAGAATTAATTAAATTAAATTTATTCGAGATTAGAATTTCGAAATCTTTTATAATAAGGTTTTTATACTGAATAAAAATAATTCTAATTTTAATAAAATAAAATAAAAGCTATAATAATTTATAAAAAGCAGAGGGGTAATAATCTATAAAAAACTATTAAAAGCTTCCAATTGATTATTATCTTTTTATATCTCAATTTTTGGATTTTTAGAAATCTGAAAAAAGAAATTAATAGAATTTCAATCAAATTATATTTATTCGAAATCAGCTTTTTAAAAACTTTCAAATTAAAACTTTTATATTAAATTAAAATAATTCTAATTTCTAAAAGATTAAAAAGAATAAAAAAAAGCTATAACAATTTCTAAAAATAGAAAAGATGATAATCTACAAAAAATTATTAAAAATCCCCAATTGATTATCACCTTTTTTGAATTCAATTTTAGAATTTTTAGAAATTTGAAAAAAGAAATTAATAGAATTTCAATTAAATTATATTTACTTGAAATTAGTTTTTTAAAATCTTTTATATTAAAGCTTTGAGATCAAATTGAAATAATCTTAATTCTGATGAGGTTGAATAAAAGCTATGGTAATTTTCAAAGAGAGGAATAGATCGCCCGCTGATCATAGCACTGCCTGGACCAACAACACGAGCGGGGGCATTTGCGAGCGGTAGGCATACACGATGTGTTTCTCGGATTACTGCATTCAAATACGGCAATTGATTGAGATTGGTAAGCTTCAGGTCACCTTCTTTGTCGTATTGTCGGATTTCTTCGGTTAGCTTTTGTAAAACTTGAGGGCTTTTGCATAAGAAATTGGTGGCACTCAAGAGTGAAGTAGCCATAGTTTCACTGCCGGCAAGGATCATAAGTATGCAGTTTGCCTCGAGCTCATCTCTTGTAACGCCTCCACTCTTTGGGTCGTTGAATATAGCGGCAAAAAAATCGTCTTGAGAGGTAGGGTATGTCTTGGATAGTCGCCGACCGAATTTCTCTCTGGTCAGTCGCAGAAACTCATGTTTGAGTCTTAAAAACCTGGCGGGTGCAAATTTGACGAAGAGAACATCTAGTGGTGTATAAAGGCGAAGCGCCATGACAAGCGCAGACATTTTGAAGTGTGTTAGAACCATCAGTATCCATGGGTGATAGGTAGAGCCTTCGAGACATCCAAAATCTTCACTGAGGGTGAACTTTCCCGCGATGTCGAAAGTGGTATAATTGTACCATTCTTGGAGATTGATGACGCCAGACTCGGTCGCTTTTTTGTCATCTTTTGATGCTTGGTTTCCAATTGGGACCTCGCGAACTTGTTCTTTGAGTCTTTTGATCAAAATATCAGTGTATGATTGGATGACTTCCTCTTGTTTATTGGCTGAAGCGGCAGCGAAAAATCGTTTTCCAAGAAGCTTTCGCAACCTGGCATGATTCTCGTCCGATGCGTCGAAGAGTGATTCGAATCCTTGAGCATCACTGTAGGCTTTGTGCTTGATAAATCCTTGGTTTGCAACACCACCGGTGTATATGCCACTCCATGCAGATGCCTCAATGAAAGACAACTCATCGGGGGCTATGCGTACAACCGGGCCGTATCTATTATGGATCTCTTTGATATCGATGTGAAATCGTCCCCGATATAGGGATACCACGTATGGGAATCTACTGATGGCCCAAAGTCGTGGTCCAGGATAGCTTGAGATTGGGTGAAAATAGAGGTTGTAAGTAGAGACAACAAGGCACGTCGCAAGGACCAAAATCTAAATCAATCACAAGTCAATGGGAAGTTGAACACAGAGCCAAATAAGCGTCCATAGATACATACGGAAGAAGTATGGCAAGAACCGAAAGGTAGTTGGACAAAATCATGCCGAAGTTTGTCTTGAGATTGGCCAGTGAATTCGACATGTCGAAGTCCATCAATTCTCCCTCCAATGGCAGTGGTTCGATATACCGTTGTACAAATGGCCATGAAAGTATACATATAACAGATAAATACAGATTGCAAAAGAACAACCACAGCTCAAGCCTGCCTCTATCCGAGTCTATCGAGGTTGGGAAGGCCATGGCAGCCGCCATTCAGGGAGCTTACTTTCTCTTACCTGGGTATCACGGGCTAGATTATGCGATTGCGGCTACCTAAATAGGTGGAAATAATTGTGACCAACATCATTATCACTACGCGGACAAATTAAACCAACAACTTCGTTGTCAATTTCAAGCTGATACGAAGGATGAAATTATCCCTGCTTGTTTGTGGAATTATACCATCGAGACCAAGGGGATTCCAATGCAGAAAAGCTTCTCATTAAGTATCTGCCGATGTAAACATTCAGAAGTACTAGTCTGCCTCTAATGACAGACCTTCCGTGAAAATAGAATCCGGAAGTATCTCGGACGATATCCCTGCCAAGCAATGCATTTATGAGCCCTAATTGAGTAATGTTTGCGTGACGATTGCTTCGCCACCAACAGTTGCAAAGATCCCAGATGCAATTTTCATGTTACCTTCATCATCCTTCGGACAGTCAACCAAGTTCGGTCAGCGATACTGTAACCTAAAGGACATGGTATAAGTGATGAAAAATGAACTTCTAGTCCCTGCAAGCCAATTCCCAGTACTCTGGGTCGAAGGATTGTGCATGGACCTGGAAACCAGTGTTTTCGTGAACGGACCGATTTTATCCGTCTGGGGTTACATCTGAAGAATCAGCTCCGCATATTGAAGCGCGTTTTGGCCCCGAAATAGAAAGTAGTATGCACGAACTTGAGTCTTACCATGTTTTTGGATCTTTGGCAGATGTTTCATTGGCGAGCATCTGTGTGGAGACATTTCTGCGCCGCACCTCGATTTTATCCAAGACTTCAAAAATGGAAAATTGTAACACCACCTTTTCTTCACGGCGACCCACAGCAATCCATGAGTCTCAAATTTTGATTCCTTGGCCATGAACCCGGCCAACTCGAAGGATATGCATGCTATGGATGGGCGCGGGGTGGATCCGGAAGCATTGAGTACATCCGCGATAGGCTGATCAAGTAAGCAATGGAAACACTATTGCATATCGTTCATGTAAAGTATACTCTTTGAGATATTTCTGTTATGAATAACATCAGGCTCGTAAAATGCGCAAGGTACTCAACTACGCCGCACGTAATCGGCCAGGTAAGACATGTGAAGACTGCTGTCACTCAGTGAACTTCACTCGAAGGAGAATAGTCTGATAACCGGATTGATACTGACTCCTGATTGGATAGTGTTTGCATTTATTCAAGCTGCGATTCCTTCCTCATCATCATCTGAGATTTCCCTCACTTGACTTTTCTATATTGAACAACAGCAGTTGCATTATTAGTATCAATCATCGGTGAGTTGCCTTATTGCTCGGACATTTACGAACCCCCTGCGATATCATCAAATTCTTACCATGTCTTCCAACTCTTATGACTTTATCATTGTTGGTGGCGGAACCTCTGGACTTGTCGTTGCGGCCCGTCTAACAGAGGATCCCTCCGTCCGTGTGCTTCTCCTCGAAGCCGGGGAAGACCATTCAGCTGATCCCCGAGTCATCACTCCCGGATTATGGCCAGCTCTCTTGGGCACAGACATGGACTGGGGTTTTCTATCAGAGCCACAAGTACGACTCCTCTCTCATAACCTTCCTTTCCATTTGGCTGTGAATCACTAGTACTAATTAATTTCATCGAAGGAAGCCCTGAACGGAAAAAAGATCCCACTCTCCCAAGGACGTCTTCTTGGTGGATCTACTGCAATCAACGGCCAAGCCTGGATTGCACCCTCCAAATACACTGTTGATGCATGGGCTACTTTTGGCAATTCTTCTTGGACCTGGGACACTATCTCCCCGTATTTTCAAAAATCATGCACCTTGACAAAACCGTCGCCCGAGGCCTATTCCCATCTGTCACTCTCCTATATCGACGAAAAAGTCCAATCCAAATTCACTGGTCCTGTTCAGACATCCTTCGCTGAAGAAGTGAATGATCCTTTGCCAAAAGCATGGGTTGATACTTGGGCTGAGCTTGGGTACGGAGTCACTGGCGATCCCTTCTCAGGTGTCGCTGTGGGCGGATATGTCAATGCGATGAACATCGATCCAGTCACCAAACAGCGCAGCCATGCCTTGAGCGCATACTATGAACCTATCAAGACCCGAGAGAATTTAGTTGTTAAAACTTCAGCTTTTGTGGAAAAGATCTTGTTAGATGGGAAAACTAGCGATGTCGTTGCAAAGGGCGTATCGTACATCAAAGATGGCAAGACTGAGACTGCGACTGTCATACAGGAGGTGATCTTGGCGGCCGGTGTCTTCGCAACTCCAAAACTTCTCGAGCTATCTGGAATTGGCTCTGCTTCACTACTTGAATTATTCGATATACCAGTCATTATTGACAATGCAAATGTCGGGGAGAACCTTCAAGATCACCTCAATGCAGGGTTCAGTTTCGAGGTAGCAGATGGTGTTAAAACTGTCGATGCTTTAGCTCGTCAAGACCAGGCAGCTATTGGAGCTGCGATGGAAGCTTACATGAAAGAGCAAAAGGGACCCTTCGCGTCGGGAGGTAACTTTGCCGGTGGATTCTTGCCCGTCGTAGATTTTCTCACGCCAGAAGGGAAAAAAGAGCTCGCCAAGCTTCTTCAAGAAATAAAGGACGACGGGAAACCCTCCACCAAGTCGCATATAGAGTTTGTAAATGACTTGCTCAATACACCAACCGAAGGTTCGGGATGCTTCTTCTCTTACCCCGCTCAAGGAAATTTCATCCCAGAGGCTGGCTCAAACGACATTATGATCAGCGCTAATGCTGATGCTGGTAACTACTTTACCATTTGCTCCATGTTACTACATCCTCTCTCTCGCGGTAGCTCTCACATTACCTCATCAAACCCCGAAACAAAAGTGACTATTGATCCAAAATACCTCTCCAACCCTCTCGATCTCGAAGTCTTGGCGAGACACGTGAGATATATCTCCAAAATAGTATCATCTGAGCCACTCAAAAGCTTCCTTAAACCAAATGGCAAAAAAAATTATGGTGCACCGGAAGATATGGATGATCTAGAGCAGATCAAGGAGTATGTCAAGAAAGCCGCATTGAGTGCTTGGCACCCTACTAGTACCTGTGCCATGTTACCACTGGAGAAAGGTGGGGTGGTGAATGAAAAGCTCGTGGTATATGGAACGAAAAATCTTAGGATTGTAGATGCTAGTGTTTTCCCGTTGGCGACGAGAGGAAATTGCCAGACAACTGTATATGCGGTTGCGGAGAAAGGTGCGGATTTGATCAAGGCGGATTATGGTATATACGCTTAGAGTGAGAATGAGCACCATGGATTGGTAATCGTAGACTTTCTAGTGAACAGGGCTTGAGTTCCATGTTCCATAATCTTAGTAATGAACATTCATTTTATTTCAATTGGTTGATTGTGTGGAGTATCTTATAGTACGATGGTTGACGGCGTAATAAGTATTATAAAACATATTAAAAAGCGATCGAGCTTTTCTTTATATATATGAGCTTGAATCAATTAAAATATTATACTCTTTGAAATTTATATAATTAAATCTAGATAGTGAAAGTATTATAAATGTTTATTTCTGTTAGAGATAAATAGTAAGTTACGCATACATAAATGATATATATAGATTATAGTATATATTATATATATTATCAAAATGAAATCTATACAAAAAACCTTTTACATATATAATATACATACTATATTACATATTGTATTATGTATATTCTAATATCCTCTCTATAATCAAATCGATTATATAAAACATATAGAATTTATTTATATATAAATAATAGAAAGAGTTTCATTAACTTTTACAATAATATTAACTTCTATAAGTTGTTTGTAATATCTATATCTCCTATAGAGTTCAATTATTTTATAATCTTTAATTGTATTATAATACAAAAGTACTCTTTCTTTGTCTATAACATGTGAAATATAAGAATAATCTTATTGATTAATTTTAGATTTCTGTATTTTTTATTAAATAAATTATTAAACAAATCATTATGTATATAATTTTATCAAAATCTAATAAAATTAGTAGATTAACTTTCTAAATCTAATTCAAGAACTTTTCTATAAGTTATAAAGTTAGGATATATGAATTAAGTCAACTACTTCACTTTCCGACCACCCCCTCTTTTCAACCACCTCAAAAACCACATCGCTTTGAGTAATTATAAAATTTACATTTTGAATAACTTAATAATACTTTAATCAATTGATTTGAAATTTTAATATTATTATAATTATAATATAAAGAATCAATATATTAAAAAAGATATTATAAAGGTTTTTAAAGCAATTATAAATGGAGTAAATATATAAAAAATTAATTTAGATTATAATATTTTTTATATTATATTTTATAATTGAATATATAATAAAGTTTTATATCAAAAAGATATCTAAATACTTTAAAAGTTATTTTCAATTTAAAAGAATTGATTAGTAGAATAGATATTAATATAAAAAGCTCTTGATATTAGTTTTATATATTATCAAATTAGAGAGATTATAGAATATCTTTTTATTATATAAAAAAAGGATTCTTTATTTAAAAAGAAATGGATATATAGCTTTTTTCGAAGATATTTTAATATTAAAATTAAAAAGCAATATCAAATCGATTTTGTATAAGTTTTAGATATTATATCTGATATTATTAAAAAGTAATTCTAAAACCTTGTAATTTCTGAAATCAAGATTATTAAGTTAGCTAATAAATAGAATATGAATAAAATAGGTATAATAAAGGGTTAGGATTTTAATAAACTAATAATAGAAAATATTAATTAAAGATTTATTCAAAAAAAACAATTTGGATCTCGAATTTGAACTTTTTTTATAAAATGTATTTCAACTAATAGAAAAAGTATTATTCTCTTTGTAATATATAAGGGAAAATCAATTTAATAATAATGATTTCCAATCGATTTGACTTTATTTAAAAATTGGAATTTTATTATTATAGAAAATAAATGAACTATAGATACTATAGTTTTAAAATAATTGAAAAAGATCTATATCCCTCAAACTATATAGAAAATAAATGAACTATAGATACTATAGTTTTAAAATAATTGAAAAAGATCTATATCCCTCAAACTATTCTTATTCAATTAGAAAATTCAAGATTTCTCATTTTGGATAAATATAAAAGCCATAAAATTATAATATTTATATTAGAATACTTCAATAATAATATATATCTCTTATTTCTTTTACTATATATATTATATATATTATAATTACTTAATTTATTTATATTCTTATCCCTAAAAAGTATATATCAAATCGAATTTAATAAATTAAATTTATTATTCGATTTTTTATTAATTGGAAAATACAATTTCCTTTTTTATTATTAAAAGATTAGAATAAAAGATTTAATTATTTAAAATATTAAATCTGAATAATAAGTTAATAGTCTTTAATCCAAAAATATAATTAAATCTTTTATAAATCAATTTTTGCTTGAAAATAATAATAAAAAGATTTTATTATTTAATTCTGAATTTAATAATAATTCTATTTTTTAATAGAATATATATTCATTATTTATTTAATAAAAAATCCTTCAAAAAGAAACTAATATTAGAAAATATAGAAATATAATAATTCAAAAAAAAAAAGATTGATTTATTAATATAAAGATTACTATTTTATAAGATTATAAAAGAATTTGATATTAAGAATTATAAACTTTTAGAAATAAAGAATAAAATTAAAAAGTTAAAATATCAATTAGATAAAATATTATCTAGAAAAAGATAAAAGATTATAATATCTTCAAATTCGAAGTTTATAGGGATTAGAGTTATAAGGTGTATATAAATTGAAGTGGAAAATTATGAAATTGAGGGAAATAATAGTTTTAGTGTTATAGAAAGTGATTCTATAAATGATTTTATTGAAGTTCAATAATTATTGAGTTATTAAAGTTTTAAATGTAGATAATATGATTTTTTTAGGTGGTTGGAAATAGGGGGTGGTCGGAAAGTGGGGTAGTTGACTTATTTTATAAGAATATTAGTTATTTATTTAATTTCTGAAATCTATATAACATATAATCTTTTAATATTCACTATATCTTTTCGAATATAATATTATTGAATATTAATATACTTTTTTTTATTATAAAGCTTATTTTCTTATATCTAATTAACTCTATTAATATTATTGTAATATAAAATTGGAATAAACAATTCGTTTTCAGAATATTCTTTTAAATCTTTTATTAGTTTTTTTATTTAAATTAATTCTTTTATATTTTTATTTATTATTATAATTTCAATTTCTATTATATAAAAAAATATTAATTTTTGTTTTATTAAAGACTATATTATAGTATTACTATATTTAATAAAAACTATTTCTTAAATAGATTTCTTATTAATTATAAATCCCTAACTATTATTTCATGGATTTTATTAGTGGTTAGCATCAGTGGTGACCACAACCCTAATAGAGGTAATAACTTTAGTAAAAACTCTCCAATTGATCACTACCCTTCTTAGCCCTAATTTAGAGTTTTTCGAAAATTTAAAAAAATAAATTAATAAATATTCAATTAAATTAAATTTATTCGAAATCAGAATCTCGAAATCTTTTATAATAAGATTTCTATGTTAAATTGAACTGATTTTAATTTTAATAAAATAAAATAAAAACTATAATAATTTATAAAAAGCAGGGGAATAATAATTCGCGAAAAATTATTAAAAGATTTTAATTGATTATTATTTCTTTTAAATTCAATTTTAGGATTTTCAGAAATCTGAAAAAAGAAATAAATAGAATTTCAATTAAATTATATTTATTTGAAATTAGCTTTTTGAAATTGTTCAAATTGAAGCTTTTATAT